CTCCCACCACTGGTTTTCATAGTTTTTCTCAGACCGGGGTGCGCGTTAAAACTACATTGAAGGGCTTGGAAAAAACCCATGCAGGTCCCTCTCCCATAGGTTCTAATTCTGTGGACCTGAGCTCCTGTTTGATTATTTCTTCAGTTTCCCAGATGGTTCTAATTTACCTCCAGGGTTGCGAACTTCTGGATCTAGCAGAGACAGCTATCTGTGACATCTTTATGCAGTTATCGGCACTTGTTTGTCATGTGATTCTTAAATCAGTACATCCCATGTTATAAGATAAATGTATGCGGAAGTAACTAAAGACAGGCTTGGGCTGCAAACTCGGGTGAATTTCTTAACCTCTTTAAGTCTAGTTTTGTCATCTGTAAAATGGGATTAAAACCTCATAGTTTTTCAAAAATTAAGCAATATATTGCATGTAAAATATTCAGTACAATCTCTAGCACACAGCAGAAACTCATTTATTACTTAGTAACAAGCAGCATGTTACGGTAGAGTGGTGACTTCGGACTCAATCACAGTGTTCTTCCAGCCCTGGCTGTGTAACTCCCAGCTCTGGGGCCTTAAGTAAATTCCTTAATTTCTCTGAACCTCAGGGCTCTTGTCTGTAGATGTATCAATAGGTGGGTGCAGCTCCTAATGTGGGAAAGTGCTTAAGACAAAGGAGGTGCTCAGTAAGCATTTCCGCCGCCTTCCCTCTCATTCTGTTTTTTAACACATCACAGGGCAGTGGAAAACTCTAATTTTGAGAATATCATTGACTTCGGTTTGGCCAGGCTGTGTTGAGAAGATATTGTTACAGTGGCCTTTGTGGCTGTGACTGACTTTGGGAGCACATCCCTTGGAGCCTCAAGGAATGGTTGGGCCTGATGCAGAAAGAGTTGTGGTGCCCGGCCCTGTGCTTCCACATCAGCACTCGACTCATGTCTCCAGTTTGCATTATGCCGAACTTGTGATGACCGTGTCCTTCTCAAGCCAACTTCCTGGCTGAGTGGGATTCTGTCCTTTTCACCTGGATCAACTTTTGATTGAGATGCAAGGGTATGCTGGGGCTTAAAAAGGACCTCTCTCCCCAACCCAGGCCTTAGAACTCTACTGCACAGCCTACTGGATCACAGCCTTAATTGTTTTAGTGCATAGTCTCTTAACACATGGGCCCTCTAGTTACTTATGGAGATTTTTGGCTTCTTAGAATGATAAGAAATCTAAGTACACTTATTCCACTTTAACATGTTCATTTCTACTTGGTCACCCAGAGTGGGTAAAGGACAATGGCTGAAGGTGACAGCAAGTTGTGTTGTGAACTGAATTCTCAAGTTATCAACAGATTTGGTAGTTCTTGTTGGTTCCTATTTTAACAAAGCAGGTCATACTTCTCTGGTGACTGAAGTGATTCATTCTTTTTCCTTTCCTTTCTCTCTCCCCTTGTAGCCTAAGTATTTTAATTCAGTCCAAGGAGAGCATTAAGGCATGTCCTTTAAAAGCTGATTTAAAAGTTTGCCTTAAGTCTACCATATAGTTTAGCACGATATTTCCAATGACTCTGAAATAAGTTCCATTTTTGGTTCAGACCCAGCCTCAGAGACTATTAGCATCTAACTTTAGTGGACCCCTAACTTTAAAAAAAAATGAAAGTAATATATGATTGCTAACCAGTTATTTTTCTGAGTAAAGCCTTCTGAGTTTACTCTGAGTTATCCTTCTGAGTAAATAAAATTTATTATAAATTTTTTCTGGAAGTTCATTTGTGAATATTAAAGGGTTGCAATTTTCTAACACATGTTTAAAATATGAGGTTTGCACGGAATCATTTAGGGAATCATTTTCTATGGTTCATTAAATTGGAGAGGAGAAGAAATAAATTTGAATTAAAATCTAATTTCATTTGTATTGTTACTAGTCTTCTCTCTATGGTCCATATAAGTCCTTCATGAAAGAATCATTGCATCTAGCTTAAGTAATTCTAGGAAATTGGAAATAAAGGGGGAAAAAGAATCATTTCATCTGGGCTTTATATTTGAGATATCATGGTGAGAGCCATTTAAAAGAGGACACCTGCATCAATTGGACCAGACATCCAAGGTTATAGAGTAAATTGATAGGAAATTCGGAAGAAGAAATGTTCTTCCTGATTTATTTAAAATGTTCTTGAGATCCCGTGTCTTCTGATAAATGATTTCTAAGTTAGAGGATGGTATCTTGTTCACATGTATGTTTCTGGAGCTGCCACTGTGCCTGGCAAGGAGATCAGTAGGTGCTTCATAAGGGAAATGAACGGAAGTTAGTTGCCACAGGAGTGATGAGATGAAGCCCTGAAATGCTGAGAGGAGAAACAAAACCGAGGGAGTCCAAGATGGGATGAAAACAGCTGAGTAATTGAGTATGAGGGAAAGAATATTGAATGGCGAGGGGTGCGTCTTCAAGGGTGTCCTTGTGCTACTCTTTCAGGGAAATGTTGGGAGAGCAGTCTGTGAGGTTCTTCCGAGCAGTCATTCTCAGATTCGTGTAAGTTGGCCCATGGTGTTTCCCCAGTAAAATTATGTAACAATCCTTTCACAGTATCTATGAAAAATGAGGTAATGGATGGTCAGTTCCTCCATGTTCTTTTTTCTTTAAGTCTTTGGCACTTGCTATTTTTAGTTAATACCAACAGCTAACGTAAAGTGGTCTCAAAAAAAAGTACAGTTACGGTAGTTATTTTAAGTTGAACAGATCAGTCCTTTCCGGAGTGGTACAGAGAGCGCCGAGCTTCCCCGGCTCAGGTGAGTTTGAGAGCTGCTGTCCTGGAGCATTCAGGAAACACAGCTCCCTCGGGGCCAGTTAAGAGCGGGCTTCGCAGGAGTTTCTGACAACAAATCTAGGTATTGTGTCCTGTAAAAGGCAGTTCCTGTTAGGTTGCTCTGGTCGATCCCCTGTGGGCTAGGAGCTTATCTAACACTGTTATCTAGTCGGCATGGAAGGACCCCATGGCTTTATTGACTCACCTTACCAATCTTTTGTAACAAGCCATCCACGGGGAAGTTTCTGTGAAGTGGAATTGTGCGAGTGTAACACTAGTGTCGAGACAGCCAGATTTGGGCTGGCGGCAGAGAGAAAGGAAGCCTTTCTGCTTTCTTTTGTGAAAGTGCCCCCGCCTAATTCTTTAGAGCTTGTTTCTACCTGGAAGCTTTCTTTTTAACTAGATTATGTGAAGTAGTTGCTTTTCTGAGCTGATTTAGGCAATTAGATGAGTAATAAAGATTGTCATTCTGGTCTGCCATATTGACTTCTAAAAGGCTGTTTAGGGAAAAAAAAATCACTTATCATGATGATTCATCTTCAAGTTATAAATCTGGTGTAGATGCAAATTTTAAACTTCAGTATTTCAGTAAGTGAATACAATGCCTAGGCTCAGAAGACAGAAGGCCTAGGAAGGGCCGGTTGGGAATGTGTATAGACTAGACCAGAAGGGGTGAGTGGGTGTTTTATTTTAACACATAGCAATTAAAAATGGCCTATCTTAAACCTTTCTTTTTTTTCTTGGAAGCCACTGCAAATCTTTAGCAGCGTGCACCAATTGGCATTCCTGGATAAAGAGTCTGTATATTTGTTTCAGTTTAATTAGAAGTAATATGGGAGCTGTGTGGAGTGGGCAAGGGGCTGAGTGAGAATTCTGTCTTAGCTTAAAGTTTGGTAGAAGGTTCAGACGCTGGAAGGCAGTGAGTGGCAGGGTATGTTTTGTAAGTGATTCTAAGAAGTGGACGCGGCGGACTAAAAACTATGAGATCTCAAGAGACAGCAAGCTTTGGAATAGCGGTAAAGAGCTTTTAAACATAGGTTGGAAGCTCAGTAAGTGTTCATTTCTCTGTTCCTTTTCCTAAACCGCAACGGGAAATGATAATAGTTTTCTATTGCGCTTATACACATGTGGGTGATGGTGCTGCTTACTGGATTGTTAGGTAGGAAAAATAAGCTCCTAAAATTCAAATCACTCAGCAAATACTCAGTTGATGCAGAGATATAAATATCTGTAATAAATGAATAGAAAAATAAACATTTTGTGTGTGTGAGGTTGTGTGCTAGAGGCTGTGAAAGCAAAGCAGGTTGAGCTGCCAGCACTCCCTCAAGGAGCGTATGGATTCGTTGGGGCAAATGCACACGTAGAAAGATAGCCAGTACTGCAGAGCACCCAGGAACCGCCATATAAATAGTCAGAAAACAAAGAGCTCCCAGAGGGACAAACTGCAGTGGACTGGGGTGGGTGGGCGGAGCTTCACCCAACAGGTGACTGCACAGACCCGGACTTCAGTGGGGTTCAGGGGTGTAGCAGGGAAGACGGAGGGCTTTCGGTTGTGGAGGACGGTGTGAGCAGAGGCAGGTATGAATCGCAGCTTCTTCTGATGAGCAGATCTCATGTTGAGTCAAAGAAGCCATGCACGGAGGTAGAAGGAGAATAGAAATCTGTTGGAGGCAGACTGTGGGGGTCCCAGAGGGGCAGGCTGGGGGTTCGGACTGACAAGCAAGAAGGGACCTACTGTCAGTTGAGGGGCTATATAGGGACTTCTGTTCGGTTGAGGTTTGCAGGATGGCCTGAGGGGGCGTGACTGGAGCCCAGGGAAATCCACTGAAAAGCCGAAACAGCAGTCCAGGTGTGCAGGGATGAGAGCTGGAGCTCGGGTTGGTGAGAGTGGAAATAGAAGGGAAAGGAGAAATGGGATCAAAATCACACTGAGAACAAAGTGATACATATACAAACATCCTTGTTTTTCTGTTGCACTTTTTAAAGTTGCGCTCTGTAGATTGGGAACCGTTCCCATGGAATATCCTGTCCCATTGGGATGAAAGTTGACCAGATATTTACACTGAGTGAGAATAAAGATGTTCACCCTCCATGGCCCATGACATTTTTTGGCTTAGACAACTGCTGGGCCTGCCACGGTCGCATATATTGTGTCCTCATAGTACAAAGCTTTCTGTTTGGTTCTAATTTTCCCCTTTTCTTTCTTTTCATATAGACTCTATCAAGAAGAATTTCCAATCCATACCTTGAACCTACTCCTTCCCAGGTATGATTCTTATCTCTCTTACAGCATTTTCTGAAACAGTGATTCTTCCCTTTGCTCCTGATTATGCCATCTCCTTCACCTGGGATGACACGGCCGAAGGTGTTTGAAATGTTCTGATGCTTGTGTCATGGATAGGACAGAAATTTTCTCCCATTTTCCAAGTCCTCTACATGAATGCATTATGAACATGGCAGAGTTCATGTATAATATAAATATTTCCCATTTGCTGTATGATAGAAATGCTGTATTTTAAAAATACTGGATATTTTACTCTGAAAACTTTGTGTAAAAGGGGCTTATTTATATTTATTGTTATCTAATAGTGGAATATCCCCGAATGCTCGTTGAAACAAGGTGGGGATGCCTTCATTACGTTCTGTTAAAAAAAAAAAAAAAAAATCAGCTGACAGGGTTGCATATTTTAGAATAACAGGAGACTGTGAGCTTTGTGAGGGCAGGACCGTTTTGGCTTTGCTCACTACTGCATCCCCAGCATCTGGAATGGGACCTGATAGCTGCTTAGTGTTTTTTGAATGACTGAGTGAATGAATACTGGTACATTGTCAGGACTAGTCAAGTGTCAGCTGACTCATACCTCTTTTATGGTAATACTTTCTGTTATCGGACTTAGGTCGTTTTTTCTTTTTTAAATAGATTTAACGTATTAAAAATAAATCATTTCCTGTCCTTCACATTTTCTTCTTAGGTTGTGTTTAGGAGGTGATTACAGGAAAATTAAGGGAGTGTAAGGATGGGGTTGAAGTGTTCCGGATCAAGTTATAGTCAATATATTATCAATTTGTTTGCCTTGGGAGAAGACATAAAATATTTTGTAGGTGCAAAAAGAGTTCAGCAAGAAACAAGTAAACAGATGTTAGCATGTACCCTCAATATATCTTCACTTTCATGAGCCTTTACTTAGACGGTTCATTTTCATTTAGCTTCCTTTGTGAAGCAACATTGCCCTGTGGACGAAGCTGCCAATTATAGAAAAAGGAGGTAGTTTATAAAGTGGGACATAGACCTCTCCAGATCTGAGGAATACCCTGCTTCATCCTCCAAGAATCAGAGATGCATATGGACAAATCAGAAGATTAAAAAAAGAAGCTATATGAAATTTTTATCTGCTAGATGGAATTGTGAAGTAGATGAAACCAGGATGCTTGGCATTAACTGTAAACTCTGCAGTTGAGTGAAGCTTAAAAGCAAAGCACAGAAGCCTGCTATTAAATTGTGTCATGGTGCGAGATGCTTGCTAGATAGGAAAAAATTATTTTCCCAGCTTCCAAGACATTTACAAGTATGCATTTATCAATATGGCAGAGTTCATATATAAATATACTTCAATTTGCTGTATTGGTACAAACATTGTATCTAAAAGAACAGGTATTTTGCCCTGGAAACTCTGTAAAAGGAAATTATTTATAGTTAAAGCAGTTAAGTGTTTTAAGCTTAGGGACTTGGCCATAACTTTTTCTATATAGTATGTCATTGGCAGCTCACAAATTGTCACATCATTGTTCTGAATTCTCAGTGAGTGTTTGTCTTTTCCGTGTAGGTTTATGGAGAGAATTCTTCTTGTGCAGGAAGAGCACTGAGGAATATTATCATCGTTCAGGCAGCTGACCTGATAAAGGACAGGGTGAACCTCAAGGGATTTTACAGGTAACACAGTTTCCTAACCCCTTGTCAGAAATTCTCCTTGAGAAAAAAACCCCAAAACATGTTAAAGTCATAACCTTGATCACAGAGAGATGGGCAATTATCAGTAGTAGGAGGGTTGGTTTGTTTGAAGTGTCTATTTGGGATACTGGTGGTATGGTGACTTTTCTCTTAATTAAACTTAGCCGAGTGTTTCACAGTTGGACTCCTGGTCTGAAGATAGGGAGATTACAACTGGAAGATTACAATACCATAAAGAATAGGGAGAGTACTCAGAATAAATGATAACAAAAAAAGTAGGAAAGGGTCTCAGAATAAAGACATTTCTTTAAGTTAACTAAATTTAGCTTTATCACAAACTCATTACAGTCATTTTCTTTTTTTCCATTCGCCACAGATGAGAAAAATTCCATCATGGGCTGGCTTTTGGGGATAGTGGTTCCCAACCTATTTGAGTAAGACGAGCCCCCATCCTTTTTTCTGAGGCATAGTTTACATACAGTAAAATGCACAAATCTTAAGGGTACAGCTTGACGAATTTTTAGTCATTACACACACTTATGTAACTACATGCACATCAAGCTTTAGGGAGTTTTCACACCCTAGATAATTTCTTCGTGTCCCTTCCCTGTCAGCAACTATCTCATGCCAACAACTTCTTTCTGATAAAAAAAATTTGGCAGAATCGGTAATCTTGGCACCATTGACCAACTGTGTAGTGGAGATGAGAGAACTATAATGAATTAACACTTTAAAATCCCATGTTAATTAATCACAGTATTTCCGTAGGTTTTGACACATTCGGCATAGGTTAGATATGATTTATTCTGTTGACAAACAATGCTTTTGTGTATATGGAATTGTGAACCTCTTGAGAAAGCTCAAAGGTCACTGCCCCACCCTCCCATAAGGAATTCACAGCCCAGGGTCTGAAAAACCACTGGTTTAGAGCCTAGGCCAAGCAGACGCAACAGGCTGGAAGACGGGCTGTGGTGATTGTTGGATTACTTCACGTAGAGCTCCCCCCGCCTTTTTAAAAAATAGATGGTGGTGCCAACTTTAGACAAGTCTAATTTTTTCCCCCTTTTTTTTTTTAAACTGACACTGCATGTATGGGCATCCCTCAGAGATACTGCAGGTTTGGTTCCAGACCACTGAAGTAAAGCAAATAGCACAGTAAAGTGAGTCACATGAGTTATTTTGTTTCCCAGTGCCTACAACAGTTATGTTTACACTCTAGTCTATTAAGTGTGCAATAGCATTATCTAAAAACAATATACATACCTTAATTTTGAAAATATTCCTAAAACTTGCTAACCGTTATCTGAGCCTTCAGCAGGTCATCATCTTTTCTGTTGGTGGAGGGTTTGAAATATTGTGATAAGTACCAAAAATGAGACACAGAGACACAAAGTGAACAAATGCCATTGGAAAAATTGGCACTGATAGACTTGCTAAATGCAGGGTTGCCACAAACCTTGAATTTGTAAACATGATATCTGTAAAGTACAGTAAATGAAAGTGCAATAAAATGAGGTCTGCCTGTGTAAGTCTTTGGGTTTAGTTGTCAGCAGGCTCATAGGATTCATTTCAGTTCCCACATGAGGCTGTATGTAGGATCTGTCCTTGTTCTCAGTTTTGTTTCTGATTGGATATAGATTGAAAAAGAATTGGGAGATGTACATTAATCAGGTTCATGGAAAAGAACCATCCATCCAAGTAAGAACATGCCTAGGGTTTAGTGGGAGTAGAATGTGGAGAGAGCATGAGTTGTCCTATTTCAGATTCCAGGTGGTCAGGCCAGAACCTCCTTTCTTTTATAATCTAAGGACTGATGAATGCTCTGGGTTTAGAGACAAAGTGCTAATATGATTGCCTAGGCTGGGTCATTTTCATCTGTCTGGTAGTAAATTGAGCAAAGCGTTCTCCATGTACCCCATGAGAATTACTTTCGCAACTTTGAAATGTTTTCCATTTATTTGGTACTATAGGAAAAATCATACTAGTTTTTTGAGGCTTCACGTAAGTGTGTAAATACCACTGCCCCACTGACATTTGAGATGAGGGTTCTCTCTGCACTATACTATGAATTAATTACCAAAAATGTAACCGGAGACAGAAGGAGGCCAAGAGAAAGCGAATTTTCAACTTCAGAGATTAGTAAAATTAATGTTTTGTTATGGCAATCACATTGGCCTTGGAGCCAGTCACCTCCATATCACAATGTTCCTGTCAAGTATGGCAACGCTAGTTAGATCTGCATGTACTCGGAACAGTTGCTGGATTCAGTACAAGACTGAAAATACACGGGGAGTAAGAACTGCCGTGGGTGTTCACATTCCTCCCTTCCAGGCATCTCTGATTTCTCCACTGCTCTCCCCTCGGTCCTGGAGGTTTAGGTATTTAAAATGGATTGTTGCTGATCTGGTCCGCAAGTCAAGGGGGTGTGAGTTAACGGCAGCGGCAGCTTACCTCATTTTGTTTGCTTTGGTGGTGTTAGTGATAGTGTTCATCCTTACCCCAGTGATGTTTTGCCTGGTGCAGATGGATTGTTGAAAGCGATTCAAAACATAACTTGTTAAATTGGAGATGGGGGTAGAAAGAGATCGTGTGCCCCCGAAACAGTAGCTTGCTCCGAGCACGGGAGCCTGATTATTCAGTAATAACTACACATGACAGCAGTCACGGCGGGACCGTGTTTTAGCATATCCACTCAGCCCTCCACCTCCCCAAGACCGAGCCCTTCCCAATGAGAAGGTGGGGCTGGGTCACCGGCATCACCCGGCAGCCGGTTAGAAATGAGGGCTCGGAGGCTGCACCCAGCCACACTGCATCAGAGTCTGCACGTCAACAAGATGCCCCAGGGGACTGACTCCTACTAAACACCAATTTGGGAAGCCCTGGTCTGAGGCACGTCTTCCTCATCAGCTGTGAAGAAACAGGCCAACGCCTCTGTCCAGTCACCATTTGCAATTTGACAGTTTAGTTTAGTAAATGTTTTGCTGTATCCTGCCGTGTTCCAGGTGGTGTCAGACACAGAGCAGGCTGAGGAGCTGTCTGTATTGTTCTGAGAATAAGGAATAAGATGATAAAAGTGCTTTGCAAGCCCAAAGATGCGGGCTAATTGACAGAGGTGTTGAGGAATTAACACTTTGAGCCTTTAATAAGAAAGGTGTCCTGTAGAAGTTAAATTTGACAGTTTGGTCTAACTGCCTGTTTTGTTGCAATCTGTTTTCTTGTTTTGTTTCAAAAAACATCCATTTATTTGACTGTTAATCTTTCTTATGTCTTAATGCCAACCTGCAACTGGAATTGTACAGCTGGTACAATCTGGAATTGCCTTAATGGCCTCAGAGTATCTTTCAAATATTTACTCCCAAAAAGCGATACTTTATCTAAAGCAGAATATTTGTTCAGATATCTCAGCAGAAATGCTTACTACCTTATTTTTCCATCACTAAAGAAAATGTAGCATCTCATGGCATTTCTTCATACTGTTGGTTACTGTGTGATTTCTAGGTATTTATAACTATGCCAATCATAAAAGATAGACAATATTTTTCTGTTTTAGGAATACAAATAAATGTTGGCATCTTTTGGTCCTTAAATACCAAATATAGGAGAAAGATAGCCTTTTACATGATACATCTCTTTAAAAAAATTTTGGGTGACCTTTTTTTCCATACGGAAGAGTGGGTTTCAATGAAATTTCTGCAAATTAAAAAAAACTTCTGAAAGTTCTCTTCGTTTGGTTTTTCATCTGAAGCTGATAAAGATGGGAAAGTAGGCATGAAAGTACCGCATGTGATGCCCAAATTGGGGCATTCTTTGAATACAGCTATGTATTTTAAGGATAACAGAGAGTATTTCTTGCGTGTGGTTAGTGGAATCCATCATCCAGGTTTATGGGTTTATGATCTACGCTGCTTGGCAGATTGCTTAGATTATGTTAAAAAGATTAACAGTCAAATGTATTGTTCTTTGAGACAAATATTAAGATTTACTCTCCGTTTAAAGATCAGAAAACAAAACTTCATACTACTCACTGTGGTATAGCCTTGTCTAACCCTGGAATTATTTTGTTCTCAAAGAGATGAGATAAAAATGTGTAATTGCTTGAACCAAAGCTGATCACCACCAACTCGAGGTACTTGTCTTACCAAGGCAGAAGCATTGTCTTCAGGTAAAGGGCTGCTAAATTTATTCCTTCATTTATTCTAATGTATATATTCAGAGACTTTACCGTGGGCCTGGACTGTTCTGATGTTGGCGATTAATCGTAAGTTACATACGCATAGCCCGTGTTCTCCTGAAAATTGTTCTCAAGGGAGATATTATTCATTTGGAAAGATGTATAATTGCTAAATGTTACATACACATAGTCCCTGTTCTCCTGAAAATTATTCTCAAGGTGAGGAAAAGAGATACCAATCATTTGGAAAGATGTATAATTGCTAAGTGTTAGGTGATGCGAAGAAGAAGTATAAGAGGATATGATTCTAAGCTTCTGTAAGGCAAGCGATAGTTGAACTGAAACCTGAAAGATGGATAAGAGGTCCGTGTCATTTATTCTTGAGTTGTTTGTTTAAAAGCACATGAAAGTGACGGTATTAAATTTCATTTTTTTTGGCAAATGGGTGGCAACCATGTCTTACTGGGAATGACTTTGCTTTTGTCCAGGAGAAGCTGCGTTGGGTCGGAACTGGTAGACTGGCTTCTAGAACACTGTCCTTTGGTCCAATGCAGATCTATGGCCATAGGGGTCTGGCAGCTCCTACTGGATATGGGAATTATGTCATCAGGTTAGTGTTACATGTTTTGAAGGCACAGAATCATTATGTTGTTAAGCTACTTGACCAAAATGTGTTTGATTTCCTAGATGATATTATAATCTAGATGGAAATTGTGTTTGCTGGTAAATATTTGCATTCTCTTATAAATGAATGTGACAGTTCATCTTTTGTTACTTCTCACACCTTTTGTAAAAATAATTAGGTACTTGTTTCATTAACTACTACCTGTAAGAGTCTTTCCCTTACCCCCTCTCTTCTCTACTTAAAATGATGCACACAATTTAAAAAAAAAAATCAGTGACATCTTTAGTTGCTCTAAATGTGTGAGTTGTCTTGTTGTACTTAGACTAGTCATCAGAAACTGACTTTATGAGTAGCATGTGTATGCCATTTTAATTGTGTAAGTAGTCATAAACGATCTATGAAAATAAGCTGTTGAAACAGAACAGGAAATTGATGTTAACTAGAAGCTAAAATAGATGGTGGATATCTCTTTTCTTTGTTCAGCCAGGGAATGGAAGACTTAGAAGTCAAGCAGTTTGGATTCTTTATTTATCTCTATCACTCAGGTGCTGGTTTGTCACTGGGAAGCCCTTTTCTTCTATAGATGATAAATATTGAGGGTCAGAGAATATAGTAAGTTTCAGAAAGGCACACCCCAGGTCCCACTGTGGCAAAGTGGTACAGATGGGGATGTGGGTGTAATCTTAGTCCGTCACACCTAGCACCTGATGCTCTTCTTTAGAAAAACAGTTAACTGCCTTTGAGGAATATAATTATCAGCTTGCTTGTGCGGTTCAGGTTTCTGCTTAGCAAAACATTTTGTGTTAATATTTTTTTGGAAAAGTCTCCACGTCTTGATTTCTTTTAAAATAGGGTTTCCCAACCTTGGTAGTGCTCACATTTTGTGCTAGATAATTCTTAGTTAATGGTGGGGGGAGGAGGCACTGTCTCGCACATTATAGGATGTTTAGTAGCATCCCTTTCTTCCACCCACCAGATGCCAGTAGCACCCCCTAGTTGTGGCAACGCAGAATGTCACCCGACATTGCTAAATGCCCTCAGTGCTGGTTGAGAACCACTGATCTAAATCTTGCCATAGTGTTGTATTTGTGTACCACCACAGTATTTAAATGTACTGCTTTGGGCCGCTAAAAAAAAAAAGTTTCTTCTACTGCCTTTGAATTGCTGTTGATTTCACCTGTCCCTGAAGTAGAACAGTTGTAAAATACATGTGAATGTGCTGGCCAGAGCTTCAAGTAATAAAAATAGGGTGGTCAGTAAGTCCTTTTTAATTCAATGGGACTGTGAACGTGAATGGACTTCATTATCGTCCTATCCCTGGCTTCTCCCTAATACTTAGTAGGCCTTTCAATTTATTATTCAGTTTATGGCTCTCTAAATGATATACTTTACAAAACTGATCCACGCCTTTTTTGTTTCCAACAGTGGACCAGCATTTATGCTTTCAAGATACCTATGTTTTCTACCAGTTTTCGTCTGACGAGTGTAGCTACTTGTACTGTGAATTTGAAAGAGAAGAGGCGTGGCAAAACGGTGTCAAACTTTTACTGCAGCTGGTGCCTCTCATTCCCACTAGAGCTGGCATCTGTGACCTGTAAGTAGATGCTGTTTTGTTCCATTGTAAAATTATTCTCCCTTAGAGAGCCATCCCTGTGTCTGGGGACTGTGCTCTGCTTTTTAAGATCATCTCCTTTAAGAAGTAATTGTTTTATTCCCATTTCTCAGATGCACGTTCAGAAAGGTAAAATGCTGAAAATTCAGTCCAGTTAATAAATGACTGAACTGGTATTCAAACTCCAGAAGTCCATGCCTTACCGGCTGCACCACGCCGCTTCTAGTTGAATCATTGCTATATGAGTAGATGATATAAGTTGGGAATAAACATGATTTAGCTTAAGTTGGAATAAAATAATAACTGACGTCTTATCCTCTCTCCAAGTCGTGACTTTCCCAAGAAAGAGCTCCACAGACATTTCTGAAAATAATCTAGAAGCAACAGTTGGCAAATTAAAACACATGAACCATTATCACACGAAGATGCTGAGTTACTATATGATTAAAATGAATTAAAATGAATCCATTAGACGGGGTGTGGGAACAGGACTTGAGTCATGATATGGTGATTCTGACATGCCTTTGTTTATCCACAGCACTAATGACAAGCTTATTTCAGTATAATGAATTGCAGATTAAAAATTTCAGTTAGCAACTTTTATGTATTCAATTTGTAGAATACGTTGAGATTAGCAGGGCAAGTGGTATTATCCTCATCTCATGGGTAAGAAAAATAGGTTCAGGGAGAAGCACCCACAACCATAACAAAGATGAGTTACTCCTGTTAAAAAAAAAAAAAGACAGTACGGAACAGTTATTACAGGCTTTTAGACAAGAAATAAAATGTCAGAATATTAATGAGACACTAATAGGTTGATTGTAGAGGATGCATTTTATGTCAGGAACTATGCTAAATGCTTTACATTCATTATTTCATCAGTTTCTACTATTTTAAAGTGAGGAAACTGAGGCATAGAGATCAGGTAACCTATCTACGGTCACACAGTGGTGTGTGGAGTATTCCATGTCTGTCTGTCTGTAACACGTACGCTTTTAACAACTGCTAGAGTGTGTGCCCAAGAGTTATGGGGGTCATTCTAGCTTCCCTTTCTGAGATGTTATAACCGGAAGCTATAAAAATGTTAGACTGACTCTGAAATGGTTATGAATTCAGTGCCACTGGCACCACCGCTGTTTATAGAGGACCTTGCCATGGTGAAGCAAATATAATGCATCATTCGATTGTCTAAGTAAGGAAAATGTTTCTTAATGTAATGTGGTCTTAATGTAGGTCAGAAGTTGCCCAGGAATAGTCAAGGAGCATTTCAGTAAATTTTAAAAAGCTTTCTAAGAAGGAGTGGAATGCTTTTTTTTTTCTGTGGTACGCAGGCCTCTCACTGCTGTGGCCTCTCCCGCTGCGGAGCACAGGCTCCAGACGCGCAGGCTCAGCAGCTGTGGCTCACGGGCCCAGCCGCTCCGTGGCATGTGGGATCTTCCCAGACCAGGGCTTAAACCCGTGTCCCCTGCATCGGCAGGCGGACTCTCAACCACTGCACCACCAGGGAAGCCCAAGTGGAATGCTTTTTAAGCTAGAGGTGGCTGTGACTCTGTGGGACTTGGCCCTCTCTGGCAGCTTTTCTTAACCATTTCCCATCCTGAAGTCGGAAGTATGCGCAGTCCCAGGGGGTGTACCCAGATTAACAGGGTATAAGGGTGTCTGAAGTAAACTCGCAAGCAGTCCTCATGGTTTATCTCCTTTCTCTCCCACCGAGGAAGCAGTTTGGAATGCCAGCGAGATGACCTTTTTACAGGGAATCCCTGAGTCTACTGTAGGTTCTAAAGATGAAGCTATTTAAAAATTTTGGTTCCTAATATTCCAGATTACTTGCAGTCTTTTGTCACACTGATCACTGTATACAGTGTCATGCCTCTGGGGTTGATAATCACTGTAGCATGCCTATCAGCACGTTCTTTTTCTCTTGGTGTGAACTTGTACGTTTGGGGGTGGTAATTCGTCTGGGAAAATTGGCATTGGGGAGCTATAGACCTGTTTATCCCATATTATAAGTACATACTATAAAAAGATAAAATTACTGAACCCACTGCAATCTCTTCTGGAGCAAAAATATATGTGTGTGTGTGTGTGTGTGTGTGTGTGTGTGTGTATGTGTATTTGTTTATTTATTTATTTACTCCATACTAGAGTTATAAAGCAAACTTCGAAGCTCTGATACAATGTTTTGGGCCAAATTTTTGAAAGCTCAAGTTTAGGTTATCCAGACTTGGAGTAAACTGTGGTCAGAGAAAAGATGTCTAGGGACATTGTCCTCTGCCAGTTGGGTTGTCACAGCCCTTCCTAAGGTTCAACACATACGATCCCATCATAACTTCTGCTGTAATCTGGTGATCTCCATTCATTCTAGCCCACACCCGTTTATTCCCTCATGGCCTTGTGAAGTTCTGCTCTTTCCTTGTCAAGTTCTACCCACCCCTCAAGGGGGAGTCCAAGTCCTACCTTGACCACAGAACTTCCGTGATACGTGCAGTCTATGATCAGCCCTAACTTTTAGTAACCTACTGCTCTTGCTGTTTGTTTCAATTTTTTTTCCACTCTTCTATGTCATTCTTAGTCCTACGGTATTCATTCCACTGTATTATCCGTTCATTTTTACCTATTCTACCAAAAATGCCCTCTAAAATCCTCTTGACTGATTAACTTACATTGTCCGTTCACAAGCTGAAAACCTGGTCCTGTGGTTCTTTTAATAACCTTTTTGAAGTCTGCCTGGGCCGTTCTACACTGGGGTCGTTCTAATTTGCCATCTTCACTCTAAACCCCTTTAAAATTATGTGAGGAAACTACTTCATGTCTCTATGTAAACACCGTTCTGTAAAGATTCATTTTTAAAAAGAAAAAAGAAACATAGATTTTTTTCCCATTTAAAATAAAATGTTTAAAGCAGGAAGGAAAATGGAGCTAATGCAGGTTTCTAGGCTAATGTGAAGAAACAAAATTCCTATGCTATACAAAATGACTTTTCTATCCAAACTGAATGGATACTTTGAAAAAAGTGAGTGCATTTGTTGTCAAGGGTACTGTCTCTGGGGGAAGAAAGAACAATCGTGGTATCTTATTCAAACTGAAAGGCAAATCAAATCATCCAGAATGTCCTTTTTCCTAACTCTTTTTTATTGGGGTGGGGCAGTTAGGAACGCTGAAGTAACATTGTAGGGAAAGGCAGCCTAATAATTCCTCCAGGACGAGTAAGACATGCTTCTGTCTAACACTGACTTGGAGAATTTAGGCTGTGCGGGAGCTTGGCTGTTTTAATTCAAGTCCCTGTATTACAGCCCTCCCAGCTTGCCCAGGGGTGGGAGTGGTGGTACTCTGAATAACAGAGTCTGTGAACCTTGATACATAAAACTATATTCTGCCAAGTACAGGGCAGTTAACACTTATGCTGCTGTTAAAAGAGTCATGGAAGATTGCTAAAATTTAACTTATGCTGCAATCAGGCAGGGAAAGGAAAAGGTAACTTCTTCATTTTTCTCTAAGTGTTGTGTTGTCCACATGAGCTTCTGTCCTGCTGGACAGCCAGAAAGAAGGAAAAGAGAAGCCCCATAATTTTAGCCTAATCCAGTAAAATGACTCTAATAAGGAAATTTAAAAGGTTTCCTTGTTAGCTGTTGAGCATATTTTGGTAAAAAGGTTCAGTCTCTCTGCGCCCTCTCCTTGCTCCTCAGCAAGACAGCCCCTGGGGATATGGTGAGTGGTGTGGGCCCTTGACCCTAGCAGACCAGGCTTGCCTGTCAGGTTCGCCCTTTCCCATCCGCACTGATCTTGCCTAGTGACCCCTGAAGTGTGACTGGGGTGCGCTGTTACTGTGGAGCCTACTGTCGGTTGGGTCTGTGTCTCTCGGCTTGATCAGTGCCCAGTGGTCCTAGCTGATGCGTCCGCCTGCAATGTCAGCATCAGCTGGCATTCTGCTGCTCCTGAGGTGTGGCTGCGGCTTCCACAGACACCCCATTCAGTCGCCTGACCTCTGCTGAAACAGCTCTCGCTCTCATTGCATCCCACCCTGACCTTCCCTGACTCCAGCCTATGTGTTAAACACACACACACACACACAAAACCAAAAACCCCACACCTGTTCGTTGTTACTGTTAATGAGCAGAGTACTTAATTGGATGGTGTGGCTCACCTTCCATTCCTCACTAAGCAACTCTAGGAAAAGCTCAGCCCAGAGGATTGAGATGAATTTGTTAACATTCATGACTCCATGCTCTAGGTAGAGAAGCAGAAGGGCACTTGAGGTAGATGGTACAGTGTGTAGGGCAGGAAGTTAGGAAGACGGGTGGCGTGTTGAGAGGGTACAAGGCAGCTTGATGTGGCTGGAGCAGTGGGTCACAAGCAGCGGCGGGGGGGGGGGGGCGGGGGCGAGGCTGAGATCGATTGCAGGGGTCTGCACATCTATAGGGAAGCTAAGCATTGTCTTTGTATTGAATAGAAAGAATGACTTAACTGTATATAGATGCTGCCGAAATAAGTAAAATACAATTTATTTGAATTCACAGTGATGTTTTTGTCATATAATTTGCTCAACAGGTACAGAGTTTATGGGTCTGTGATCTATTTCTATGTTAAAGGCGTCCCCCACTTAAAAATAGGGAACAAATGGCTTGGTCACTTGGCCTAAGCTGCCCTGGCAGTGACAATAATACAAAAAATAGCAGTAATATTAACACTCACATGTACTTACCACATGCAAAGCACTAGTCTGAGCACTTTACATATGACTCATTTAATGCTCACAGCAGTAGTTTGGAGTTGTGATGCGGAAACTGAGGCAAGACAGCTTGTGTAACTTGCCAAAAGGGCAGGCCTCTGTACTTGGTGGCAGGCAGTAACATGAATTGAAGGCAGAAGGTGAATTTGGAAGTGATCTTCATGGCACTGGTTCTCAACCATGATACTTTAAAAAATAAACAGGTATAACCTGAGATCTGCTGAATCAGGATTGGAGTAGAGAGATGAGACAT